ACTGAAGCCGGACAGCGCTGATCAGGCACGGCTCCCGCTGGCCTGCCATGGTAAAAATCTATATAAAATATTCACTCTCGCTCTCAGCCATCGCTGCGACGTATTCCCCGAATCCCAGCTTATGCTAATGTCATGACGCGCGAATGGCGCTGCCCAACCTTGACGCTCGACGTTGACTTGGCCAATAGAATTTCCTTCAGGGCCGGTTTTAACGTTTCCACTGAAGCCGGGCAGGCCTCGACAGCACGTGTGCATGCGTAAAATCTGATATATAAATACTTCACCTTCGCGCTCTCTAGCATCGCGCGCATACGCATTCCCGAATCCCAGCCTATGCAATGTAATGCGCGCGAATGGACGGGCAACGTGAGTCGCACGCTTCGACTGGCCGCAATAGAATTTCCTTCGGCGCGCCTTATTTATTACGCTTTTCGCACTGAAGTCGGGCAGGCGGACAGCCACGTGTGCATTCGGTAACCATCTGATATAAAATATTCACTTCGCTCTCAGCCATCGCCCGCTGGCCACGCATTCCCCGAATCCAGCATATTGCTCCAATTATGGGCGAATGGCCTGCTGCAGACGCTTGGTCGTCACGTGTGACTGGGGCAATAGAATCTCCTCGCGCGCCCGATTTGTATTACGTTCGACTGAAGCCGGCAGGCTGATCGAGCACCGCTGCTGCGCATCGTAAAATCTGACTATAAAATATTCACTTCGCCTCTCAGGCATCGGCGCGACGATTCCCCGCAATCCCAGCCTATGCTAATTGTAGGCGTGAAATGCGCGCTGCAACGTGGTCGACGTTTGACTGGCAATCACGTGCGTGAATAACAACTGCGTTTCGGGAAATGGAGACGCTTCCTGGAAACCTGCCGGCAACCTATAAAACCAGTTTCCCGTCTATAGGTTTCGCTTACCACCGTTTAAAACTCTTATTACGGATTCCAGTATGACTTCTTGCAACTGGAATCCTATGCTAAAAGAAGTTTCCGTCCCCCACCCCCCCTTTGGTTTCCGTTACACTGAAACTCTCTACTTAGGATTCAATGTATTCCGCCAGTCCGCGAATCCCTATATGGTATAAATATTTACTATGTATCGTTGATTGTGAACCAGCCTGGAACCGACAAGCCTTAACTAAACACACTATAATTATTATGCACATCTAGTATATATTATATATACTCACTATACTATATATATAATATAAATACACACACACACGCTGTACCATACTATTCTATATATATATATAATATATATATATATTACATGTACAGCACTTTGCAGTCTCATGAATAGTATATCTACGTCAATAGTTCGCGAACAGTCAGGAAGCGTCACAGCGTACGCGCTGGTTGACTAGAAAATCTCTTACTTATGTTGGACTCTTATGCTTAATTATGAGCATTATGTTCATCTTCAATAAATACATAATAAATTAATGATTAAATAGCTATGCATACGTCATATGTGTTCATCCTACAGGGCAACCGCGCAACGCGAATTATGGGTAAAACGACGCCAGCGGAAAATAACCGGTAAGCCCAGAAATCTATATTCGTTATCATTACAAAATCTAGCCTAATCCATCGAATATACACATTATTCTCAGCTGTCTTTAAAAAACATAACCAAGAACGGCAAGATCAATATGTCTTACTATTGTTGTTGTATAGTATTTGTCGTGAAACGTGAGTAAAACAAAACAAGTATCGCATATATTTTTCCTATTACATACATAATATGTCGCACCATAATCACATGATGCTACAGTAATTACTATTAGTACTATTAGTGTTGCGCACATTTGCTCTCAGCGATCCTCACTTGAAATATTCCCCTATAGTTTGTTTTTGCCGTTCTAACATAATTACTTGCATTCACGATCACCACCTATGACACCACTTGCTACTGTAGGCCTATGTATAGTGTGGAATTAACACATGCTCCGACCAATTAGTTGTTAAATTACTTGTTAGTTGTTAGTTTGTCATTCGTCGTTCAGTTTATGGGAACTTGGAATGACCTTGATTCAATTTCGAAATGTTTAGAAGTGTGTATATATAAATTATAATGACTTGCATGCATGATGTTTTTAATATGTTTTTAGCATATTGTCTTGAACCTAGGCGCTTCAATGGTAAACATATCCAGTAACGTACTACTTAGTTGTTCTACTCCCATTTCGTTTACACCCATTTCGCCTACTCTCATTTCGTCTACTCTCAGAATAAATAATAATTAATATAATACAGTACACGTGTGTCATTCCATCTTACCTCTAGGCTCTAGATAGATTTATTTATTATATAAAAATTATTTTAAATTATATTGTAATTGAATTAAATTATATTAATATTAACTAATATATTATTATAATTTTATAATATTAAATTATGTTTTCTTCGTGGTCCTGCACTATGTATGCCAATCAAAACCATATTTTATTATTTATAGNCACAACCCCCCCGCCCTGCCGCCCCGCGAGAGAGGCCCGCGCCGCACGTTCAGAGGCGCCCCCCCATCCAGGACACAGATTCCTGGAGCGGGGCGGGCCACTGTAACGCCCGTTTCGGGTCGTCGCGAGCTCCGGTGACTCCCTTAAGGAACGGGCTCTGGCAAAGGTGTGGTGCGATGCGCGCAGTGCCACCTGGCACGTTTGTCGACCACCGACGCCGATACCATCGGCGGGAGGGCATGGTAGCTCCGTGCCCGATCCGGGGTGTGGACAGGCCTACCCAGGCGCGGTGCTGTACCGCTTGTCACACAAACCTGGCGGCCAGCGCACGCCTTGGTCGGGTCTAACCCGGATGGGCGCCAGACGGAGGTGCCGAGCGACACGTCCGACCCCGAGTACAGGGGCTGCGCGAAAGGCTACCTCCGGGAGAAGCGGCGCTACGGCAGAGCGCCCAGAAGGGCGTCGGCGTCACACCACCAGCCGGCCGACGCCATCCTCCGCCGGCGCGTAGGATGGCGGACATGACGCGCAGAATAGGCCGCCGCTGCATCCAGATCGGCCAAGCCTGTGCCTGCGCTGCGCCCCCGGGCCCCGCAAAGCGGGGTCCGCCCACCGAGGCGCACCTAAAGGCCAAAAGGTGCACCGCGCCGTGGCATTGTGCTGCCTGCCAGGGGCGCTACGGTGTCCGTCGTCTGCTGCCGCAGGCGCGCGAGTCGTAGTCTGCCGCGAAGCCGCCCGCGCTCGTCGACCCCGGACGGAGCGCACGACGTCGGCTCAGCTGAAAGTCGCGCACCGTCCGACTCGAGACGGAGCGCAAACGGCGCTGGCGTGCAGCAAACACAGCGCCCGTTCGACTCCGGAACCGGCAGCCGTGCGATCGTCGACAGCAGCAAGCGACTGAAGCGGCGCCGGCTCGTCGATGGGGGCGAAGTCGGTGCGGCGAGACGGGAGGCAGCGTCGGCGAGACGATCGCGCACTGCTGCGACACTGACCCCCCAGTTGGTTCGGGCGCACCCGCGGAGTCCTCCGCGTGACGACGTCCGAGCCCAGCCATGAGCAGCTGGATCGCTCGAGCCGAATGCTCCTGGAGAACATTCCAGAACCGCGAACGGTCGTCGTTCCGGCGGTTCTGTAGCCCTGTGGGAGGAAACGACGGAGGCGAGTAAGCGGGCACTGGCATTGCCGCGAGTTCAGGCGCGCAAGACGGCTACGCCGCAACCGCGAACTCGTGCGCTATATGGGGGTGGAGCACCTGAGCAGCCGTTCCGCTTGGGCCCGAACACGTGCCGCTCGACCCAGCACACGCGCGCAGGGTGTCGAGATTGGCGGGCCACTGGAGAACTCAGGAGGGCGGAAGCCTGCGCAATCCCTGTGGACCCAGCAGGACAAGTCACCCCAAAGTAGTGCAGTTAGATAGGGCGCCGGTGCACCGCTCGGAAGCCTTTGGATCGACCCTGACGTCGATCCTTGAGGGTGAGGATGTAGCGGTGGCATCGGGCCCTCGGTTCCCAGAGCCGGTGGAGGCTGTAGCCCTGGGTACCGGAGTGGGGAGATGGTTAATGTTTGTACATTGGTCAATTGTTTTGTCGTCATGTCTGTTTTGTCGGGGGTTTGCTTACGCGATCGAACACAACAACGGGGCTGCCATGCCGGATGCAGTGGGTCCCTGCTAGCGCAGAGAACGCGAAACACGTACGGCCCTGCCAGGTACAGGCGGGAAATTCGGTCGTTGTCTCGCGTGGTTAAGTTCGCCCCGGGTTGAGCGAAGCGGATAGATCGGAAGAAGAGAGAGCAGAGAAAGTACAGAGAAGATCGAGAGTTGGAGAGAGAAGAGAAAGACAAGAGATTTTGGGAGAGGTAGAGAAGAGAGAGTAAGAGCCCCACCGCGTTTCTGCTCGAGCGGCCGGTTCGGTGATAAAGCCCCGTTTTTGTCCTGGTCCGTTGTAGGGTGAGTGAATAATAACAGTCTTAGGCCCTTAAGTAAACGTGTCGAGTCTGCACGAAATAAGCGAGGTGAGTTAGTCTATTTCGTGCGCGGCTGCAGCGGGATGGCAGCCGCCGATACCTTTACGTACTGTAGCCTATTGGCCGGACTGCGCGTTCATAGTCTATACTTGTGTCTACCTCTGTGTTTTACGTAGTAAATACAGCTTGGTTATACATGCGTAACCGCGAGATAGGGGCGCAGGGGGGAGTTGCCCTGCGGTGTGCATACGTGTCGTTACTCGTCCTGCACTGTTTGACAACATCGACAGCTCAGGACGCTGAGCAACGACAGAACAGCGTTATTGCCGGGAGGCCGGTAGCTTGCAAAGCCGCTACGGTGGCCTAGCGACGTCCGGGGGCCGACACTGATCACGGCCAATACACTCTCCGGACACAACAATGGTGATAATATACATAAGAAGTGGTGTGCTAGCCATTGTGCTGTCGACCGTGGCGCCATCGGGTCCACCGAAGCCCCCGAAACGCTACCAATTGGCAATTACTTACACGTTTCAGTATGAATTTTGGTAGGACAACTGTTTTATACAAGGTTTGGTCACTGTAAAGCTTCTACTTCTTAATTCTCGGTCTGTATTTTACAGACACTTCATAGCACAACCCATGCGGTAGTCATGCAGTAAGCATTGCTTTGTTATTGTCCTATTTTAGATGAAAAATAGAGATATAATAGAGAGGAAGGGGAAACTAGGGGTGAAGAAGACAAAGTTCTACCCCGTCATCATCAGTAAGTATTGAGATTAAGTAATTAGTACGATTACAATGGTCAACAATTTTTCAGAAGTTGTCTGCCTCTGGGATGAAAGATGCCAATTATTATAGATTTTGATTTGATGAATCCCAATATGCTTAAAATTGCTGGTTGGCTTCAATTTTTGAGATATTTATATATTTCCATTTCACATGCAATTGTATTGGCATTACTGTACAGTTTCAGTATGAATTTTGGTAGGACAACTGTTTTATACAAGGTTTGGTCACTGTAAAGCTTCTACTTCTCAATTCTCGGTCTGTATTTTACAGACACTTCATAGCACAACCCATGCGGTAGTCATGCAGTAAGCATTGCTTTGTTATTGTCCTATTTTAGATGAAAAATAGAGATAAAATCTTTTTTTTAATCTCATGTTGTATGGGGATCAAATACCCATCAGTACTTTTTGAAATTTAGGGAAGCAGAAATGTAATCATCAGATTTTAATATAATAATAATAGTGCCGTTTTTATATAGCACTTAACACATGATCTGTCTCTAAGCGCTAATACAATACAGTAAGGATTATTACCCCTCGGTCAGGTACATTGGAAACCCGCCCAATAATGACATTGATTTTGTTTATATATCAAGGTTACTATATGGTTAGCATCTGACAAATATTAAATTCAAATGTGAAGTGTTTAATAGAAATAAATGAAGCCAAATTTTTGCCATACAGTTTATACAGCATGCTACAGAGCATGTACACATTTTATGCCTTCAAAATTGACATTTTTCTATCGTAAGGAAACAAGTTAACAAAACTGGTAAACCACCATTTATATAATGTTCTATTGGGTTTATGTCTTCGTTTTCAGGGGCATGTTTGAAGACCCATGCAGGTGCTAATTAGGAGAACGACATAGAGTGATGCATTGGGGATTTCCTGAAGCGAGCTGCCTTTCTCCCAGGGAGGGAAAATATAAGGTAAATCAAGTTCATATATTTGTCGAGTGAATGTGGATTTCTATCACAAATAAAGGATCAGAGCAAAATTGGTCAGAACATAAAACATTTAGGATATTACATTCTTTATGATATTTTAATATGCTTCTTTAATATCAGAAATACAAACGCACATGTTATCGCTGATATTGGGTTTTGTGATTGCTTACTATTGTTGGGAACCACCTAGCTAAGAACATTAAGTATGCTGGCTGAATCATACTAAAGTTTACTTATGCTTATGGGCGAAAATTATTGTCTAAGCCAGTGGAAACTATGACCAATACAATATTTTAACCACTTTTTTATTCTGATATTTCCGGGTGAAAAATCAGAACATGTCTTAATATTAAAATACAGTCAAGTATCTTAATATTTTTCTTAACAAATATTCAAACAGCTAGCCTACATACATTGATATAAGGTAGCACTGCCAGGAAAGTTCACTCCCAGAAGTAAGATGCTTGAAATGCAGCAGTGCACATAATCCTTGCTTTACATGATCCTCGGTTTTTGTTTTTCTTGCTATGGTGCCTGTGCACTGCATCATTCAGAGCATCCTACCTCCAAGAGTAAACTTTAATAATTCAAGATGAACGTTATTCATAGTGGGACCATTTTTGATTCACATCTTTTTTCTATGAGTATTCTTCTAGCACTAGCAGTAATAATCTGTTAAATAAACTGCAGAAGTTAATAGTTTCGAACTTGATTATCGAGAACATATATCATAACTGCTTGTTTCACAAATTTTGAAACTTTTTTCCAGCTGGTTTTAAAAAAGTGTGGGGAAATGCCAGGGACCAAAACACCAGGACCCTTAATGGAAGTGTACAACTCCATGCACTTGCAAGCAAGCTTGCTAAACGCAAGCGTGATGTAAGTAGTGCAAATGTGCATTAATTGATAGGAACTTTCATTGTTTACTATTTATTTCAGTATCTATTTGACTATTTCTGAATTTCATCACTTGAAAAATACAATGGCAAAAACCAAATTTTAATTCAACAAATAAGCGCTACCAGTCGATGTTTTAGTTTCTGTAAGTAAAATTAAAAAGCCTTCCTGGCTTCTTGTTTCTTTTTTGTTTCCCAGTTGATTAAATCTTATTAATATTTTGGTGGTTAATTTTACATATTATTTCTATTGCTATGCTTATACCGCCTGGAAATCACCCAATCAGGCACATTCTTTGGTGGTGAAGCAATGACCCTTTCGGTATCATGCTCCTCTACCATTTCCAACAGCTTTCTAGCATGAGGAGAGCGCGTATCTCTATAACATTCATCTAGTTCAGTTTTCATATTGGCTAATTTGGAACTTTCAAAAATGAATGGGACTTTCAACCGCTTTGCCCCATTGCCATTGTATGACACATCCTTCTCTGGTGATGTCAGACTTGGTATTTGTTGTAAGCAATTATATATNAGAAACATTATATACGAATGGTGGTTTTAAGCAGCAGTTTTGTTAACTTGTTTCCTTACGATAGACAAAAATGTTCAATTGGTTGAAGACCCATGCAGGTGCTAATTAGGAAAACGACATAGAGCGATGCATTGGGGATTTCCTGAAGCGAGCTGCCTTCCTCCCAGGGGGGAAAAATATAAGGTAAATCAAGTTCATATTTGTCGAGTGAATGTGGATTTCTATCACAAATAAAGGATCAGAGCAAAATTGGTCAGAACATAAAACATTTAGGATATTACATTCTTTATGATATTTTGGTAATCACTATTATGGGCTCTTCAAATTGGCAACACAGGCCAGCAATGTGAAAGTTTATGGTGGGACAATCCATGTAAAAACAACCAATTAGTTTGCAATTTGCCACCCGACCCCCTCAGATTTAGCAAAAATTCTGGGATAACCCCTAAAAATATAGGTAAAGGTCACTTAAAACACAAAATGTTGGGGATCCTCCTAGATGGGACTAAGGTTGATCCATGACCTTGAAGTTGGCATATTTTTTAAATTCACAAAAAGGGAGCCCTCAATCAAATGAGTCGCACTTTGTTTCTTTTGTAATTCCTAAAAGAGGGCAAAGTCTACTACTATTGTACAAAATATGATATGCTAATGCTAGGGGCACACGAGCCTATTTTATCGCCCGATCGCGGCGATTAAAATCGGCAGCGAATTTAATCGCCCGATCACGAAGGGGTACACGTAGCGAATTTAATCGCCCGATTTTAACATCCCATGATATCAACAACACGTCCGATTGGTTTAGAAAAATCGATCGGGCGGCAAAATACGCCGGACACGGGCACACGAGCGAATTTGCCAGTAAATAATCGCCGGCGTAAATAATCGCCCGAAAATATCTTACATTTTGGATACGGGCGATTCGTGCGGGCGATTAAAATCGGCGTCGACGTGAACGGGCACACGGGCGAATTTTTCGAGCGATTTTAAAATTCGCGGCGATCGGGCAATAAAAATACAAATTCTAGTTACTAAGAAGTACCCATTTAAAGTTTTTATTTCAACACTTAAAGAGTTTCAACTATCAAAGTAAAATAATGTCTGTTGATTGAGAGAGGATTCTAGCATTCCAATATTGTAAATGGTTGGGAGACTTTTCTTTTGATTGTACAGATTGGCAGCGCTGCACGTCGTCACCTGACGTCGTGCATGTGACAAAAAGGTCAGAAATTGTTTAATTGTAACACATTTTTCTCTATGATTTCAGAGATAACAGAGAGCCATTTTCCAGGCCACCAATGTAAGACAACATATTTTACGTCGAAATTTAACAACTCCAAAAGGATTGTACATCAAGTCGATTTAACACAAACGATAAATGTTGGGGTACTCTAAAGTGCTATATTGCCAATTTTAAAGCAACACGCATCTGAAGTGGCAACAGAAATATAAGATGGAATGAACTAAATTGTAGAGAACTGGTGAGAGGACCTAACGGACTGTACGAAACAAATGTAAGTAAGGCTAAAGTAATGTACTACGCTACGTGCGTCGCACCGCGTAATGGTGCGTGCGTACAAATGAAGCGTTTGCATGTCCGAGTGGCGTGCGTAAGTGTCTACAGTGCTAGTCACAGTGTGTGAACGCCCGCGCGCGTGCGTGCGCATGTGTGTGTGTGCTGCGCGGCGGGGGCCGGTGTGTTGTGTGTGTTGGTGTGTGTGTGGTGTGTGTGGTGTGTGTCCGCTCGGTGTTGTGTCCACTGTTGTTGTGTGTGGTGTGTGTTGTGTGTGTGTGTAGTGTGTGTGTGTGGTGTGTGTGTGTGTGTGTGTGTGTGTGTTCCACTGTGTGTGTGGTGTGGTTGTGTGTGTGTGTGTGTGTTGGTGTGTGTGTGTTGTGTGTGTGTGTGTGTGTGTAAGTGCGTGCGTGTGTGCGTGCGTGCGTGCGCGTGTACGTGTTGTGAGTGTCTGTCTCTCTTTTTCTGTCGCTCTGCGTGCGTGCGTGTGATTTTTGACATTTAGACATTTTTCGACTCCGTTAGGCATCGATGCCAATAGATGGCACCACGATGCCTAACGGAGTCGAAAAATGTCGAATAAGTTTCAAACAAGTGAACATACTTTTCATATGGGCGTGACACAGTTGTTCTTACCGGAATAGTGAGCGGTTTAGAGCTTTCAACGCAACAGTTTTATTGTCATAGTGGATATATTGCTGTCGTTTTTTTAGAGCCGTCACGGGTAAGTTATGTAGAAATTGATAGGATAGAGCGTTACTAGGAACATCAACACATTTAACCAATGCATTAGGTTACTATTAGGCCTACTAATACTGTAATACTAATAGTAATAGTAATACAGTACGCCAATAGTGATTAGGTAACTGCAATCAGTGAATCACTGAATCAGGGTGTGTCGTAGGCTTGCGGCAACTGTACGCGGGCTATTTGGATCGTTTCAATAAAATATAATGCTAAGTAAAGTAAGGCATAGAGGGGTGTCGGCAGATGACAGGAGACGGAGGCAGATGCGAAAGATCAAGGGCGGTAGAGGAGAAGGGAGGACGAAATCTATTTCTACCAAAAGTATTAATGTTTTCTATACTCTCTTTCACCTATTATGCGTCCAAAATCTCACTGCCAACAAACCTCTTGTGCCAGCTGCACGCTGAGCACATAAATATAATATTACTATAGGGCAACAGCCCTAGCTAGCTCCAAGAAACGGTATTGCAGGGTTAAAAATACCGTTTCCGAACACAGGCGCAGCTAAACACGTAGTTGCCTATATATTCCAAGCATCCGCCAAAGAACACCACACAATGTGATATCAACAATGAATCACGTACAACGTCCACCTCTTGTAACCATCCAGTGCGCTCCCGATGCGCTGGTACTTAGGGGGGGGGGGGTTTACAGCAACTTTTTGAGACCAAATGCAACCATTTCATGAATTGCCAACCATGTTTGCTATCATTCCGACTGTGACTAAAAGTCCCGCAATGGATCGAACAAAAGGAAATTAAACGATCTGCGTCGTCATGTAAAACCACCCCTACATCCGAGACATGTCATCTAAGTTTTTAGCAAATGCCCACGACATTTCTGAACAATCGCTTCACTTGCTATTGGTGTTAATTGCCATTGATGAGCCATCGTCTAGTTTTCTCGTAAGTAATTATTTTACACAGTATTTCTAGGAGTCTATACGTTTTCGGGTTTTTCCGTGCCTATGCTAAAACATGGCGTAAAGCTGATATAAAGTTGATAATGCTGGAGAATTAGCAATATACCGGAATTAAGAAGATACCATGCTAGTTTAGAAGCAGGACAACTGTGAGTTACGTTCATATTTTTAAACAAGGCAAGTCAAAAGGTGGTAATCGGAATAGTTCTTATTTTGAGAAGAATTTTATACAGAGTTATTCATCTAGATCTGGCAAGAGGTAGATAAGGTTTTTTGTATTAAGGGTGTCAGGCCTGTATAGACAATCCGTCCGCACAGCCTGGTCGCGCTAGCCCGTACCCATCTTTATATTGGGGGGGGGTTATCGTTTTCATGTTGGCAAATTTGCTCGCAGGGCTGTACACAATTACTACCAGGGCTGGGTCTAACCGTAAACCCAAAGTTGCGAGCCAACGCCCCCGAGGGTCTGGTGGCTCTCCCCCTAGCAAATTTAAAAATTAGACCCACTCAATGCGTTATTCTGGCCACGAGCAAGGGGGTGTACCAGACTCCTGGACCCCCGTACACGCCCACTGCTCGAGCGCAAAGCACAGGCAAGGTGCCAAGGCGACCGAGCGGGAGGGTGTTGAGGGGGGTGTCACTGTCACGCCTCTCGCACATGGAGATTTTGCAATTATTACACTAAAAATGGAGGTGTAAATTCTTAAGGCAAATTAACAAAAAAAAATTTTTTGGGCTTGGGGCGGGGGTTTCGTTTGAACCCGCCACGAACCCGCCCTGGCTAACGGCGCTGTAGCCATATAAATACTATTAGCAGGTTAGGAAAGCTCGCTCCAAAATTCGCCATCGACGCTCGCTGATTAAATACAATCACAACACAAATATTCTAATAATCTACTCATCTTTGTTCTATTATGAAGAGCAGGGTCTCACTTTCTAAAAACATACCTCTTAGTATCTGTACTGTAAGTACCGTCGTGTCGTATAACCGAAGCTGTTGTCACGCGACAAATCACACAAAGCCTGACGAAATTCTGCGTTCGGCTCCATTTTGCGGCAGTTATGTAAATGGCTGCAAGTACAGGGCTATAGGCTGGCGTCACTGCATCTTTGGAAAACTACCCAGACGCTGCTTCCAACTCCGTACGGAGCCTCGTCAAAGCCACCAGTGGAGCCGTTGCAAAAAT